ATTACCTTCATTCATCCCGAAACTTTTATCGGCTTGTTAACTAACTATGAATCAGGGGGGGAAAAAGCCACCCAGCTCTGCTTCTTAAACAAACCAATTTAGCTGTGGTTTAACAGATGAATAGAGTTGGAAGGGACCTTATAGGTCATCTAATCCAATCCCACACACACACGCTCAAGCAGGAGACCCTACATCAGTTCTGACAAATGGCAGTCCAATCTCTTCTTGAAAGTCTCAAGTGATGAAGCTCCCACAGCTTCCAAATGCAACTTCAGTTCCATCGGTTGATTGTTCTCACTGTCAGAAAGTTCCTCCTTGTTTCTAGGTTGAATCTCTCCTTGGTCAGCTTTCATCCATTATTCTTTGTCTGGCCTTCAGGTCCCTTGGAAAATAGTTTGACCACTTCCTCTCTGTGGCAGCCCCTCAAATATTGGAAGACTGCTAGCCTGTCTCCCCTGGTCCTTCTCTTCACTAGACTAGATATACCCAGTTCCTGCAACCGTTCTTCATATGTTTTAGCCTCGAGTCCCCTAATCATCTTGGTTGCTCTTCTCTGCACTCTTTCTAGAGTCTCCACATCTTTTTTTATAGTGTGGTGACCAAAACTGGATGCAGTACTCCAGGTGAGGTCTTATGAAGGCTTTGATCTTGATTGTATCCCTCTGTTAATGCAATTTAGGATTGCATTGGCTTTTTTTGCTTCCGGGATCAGAATAACGTTTGTCTTCTAGGTTACAAACCACCCTTCATTTTGCAGTGAATTTCATTCTATGAACATCAGGGAAAGACAATTTCATTCTATGGGCACACAGCAATGGGCTGACTAGGCTCTTTTGAGAAGCAGTGGGGAGAACAGGCAGGCTTTTTCTGGGAAGCTAAACAGGATTCAGTAGAGAAGGGGAAACAGCATCGAAGAATGTCTGATAATTCAGGCGGGTTGTTGTTGTTGTTTTTTTACCAAAAACCTAAGGCGATGTTACAAAAGTATACTGGTGAGTACTGTGTATTAAATGTGAACTAAAAAAACCCATATTATTGCTCCTACCCAAGCCTATTTTATGGACCAGATAGCCACCTTTTGCAGTGGAAGGCCTGGGTTGCTTTGGTGACAGAGAGATCGGATATCAACCTGTTTTGTTCTGACTCAATGTGAACTAACTGTCCCAAATTGGAAAGAAATAGAGTCTGCCTTATTTCCAATCCTTTTCAGAATAGAAATACAGTTGCTCCTTTGCTCAACCTGGAGAGCTCAGGATCCTGAAAATAAGCAAGAGAGATTTTCATTGTCTGAATTCCATCAGAGGCAAGGAAGGGAATGGCATCAAATGGCCCCATCTTCCACTGCCTGCCTCTCACTGCAGCAGGCCTTAAGGGCCTGTGGTCTTGCTGGCAGCCATTTCTTGAGGGGGGGGCTGTATTCCACCAGATTGCATAGCTAGCAGCCTACCTGTCACGAGGCTGTCCTGCGAAAAGCAATTGCAGCGGTCTAATGAAGCACACGCCAGGGGTGCGTGTTTCTGTAGGTTTTCAATTACTGAATTTCTAACCGTCCAAGGCAAGCCAGTTCAAATGAGCACCTTCAGGAAGAATGAAAATCTTTCTCCGAGTCTTTTGGGAATAGTCACTTTGATTGCAGTGTGTGTTGAAAGGCAGGAGGGGGAGAGGAGGAGGAGAGGAGTTGGATGAAAAGGAGGAGGAGGAAAGGAGGAAATGGAAGAGGAGAAGGGTAATTGGAGGAGAGGAGGCAGAGGGGATGGAAGAGGAGGAGGAAATGGAGGAAGAGAAGAGGAGTTGGAGGAGAAGGAGGAGAGGAAGAGAAGGGGAGGGAAGAAGAGTGGGAGGAGGAGGAGGAGGAGGAGGAGGAGGAGGAGGAGGAGG